GAACGTTGGTAATGCCGAAATACTAGGTGTGAGTGTTTATGTGTAGAATTTATAACTGTAACACCCCAAATTTTGTAATATTGTTTGATTATTAATATAAGTGTTTATGTAGAATTTCATCTGTTTGATATATATACCACCACAAACTAATATACATCCTCATACTCGTATTCACACATTCATACAAGTCTACATCATCACATATACCTATATTTTCATCACTATATATATATATATATATATATATATATATATATATTGATGAAAATATAGGTATATGTGATGATGTAGACTTGTATGAATGTGTGAATACGAGTATGAGGATGTATATTAGTTTATGGTGGAACTGGAATTGTTGTGTATGATTGGATTGGACTGAAAATAGGCTAAGTGTGAACTGCAGAGGCATTCTCGTTGTAGCGAGAGTGTCTTGGGCGTAAGGGGTACAACTGTTGCGTTATCGCTGTAGCGAGAAGGCAACAAAGAGGGGTGCATTCTGGGTTACAGTCTCACTGTAGCGAGAATATCTCGTTGTAGCAAGAGTGTCGTAACCAGATGAGTACTTGAGGGGTTAGGGTTTAAGAGAATGGATTATTTTACATTTCTCCTTCTCTTCTTTTGCTATTCTTTCAATCTTAAACCCTATTCCACCGATTAAATTGCCTCCAAAGCCGTTTGGAAGTAAGATTGAATGTTGGATTCACGTTTGGGGCGTTTGAAAGTAAGTTTTCATGGTTACGATTTTGGTTTCTCAATCTCATTCTCTATTTTCTCTAGTTTCCTTGGTTCTAATGGGATTCTTTCATGTAATTAGGACGAAGTTCATGTGGGGAGTCTTTTTCATTGTTGATTCATGTGTGGGTCTTCAATTCGAGGTAAGTGGGGACTCTACCCTATCTCATTGTGTTTGAATGCCATGTAATTTGCTATGCATTGTCATGTGGATGGTTTGGAATGCATGTGTTTGATAGAATTGATTGATTGTAGTGAGATTATGGTGGAAAGATTGAATAGAGTATAGTGTAATGAATGTTGAATAATGGGTACGATGGAATAAATTGATAAATGAGGATTATGTTGAAAATGTTGTGTGTATGGACTTGTTGTGCGTTAAATGTAACGCAAATAAATGTAGGCATCTATGTCATGTCATGTGAATGAATATGGGCATGTTAAATGCAGTTGTAAATATACTATGAATGGTTGCGATACACTAGAGGTGTGGAAAATGGGGGCAGTAAAAATACCTTGGGAAAGAGAGAGTGGTGTTGACACCAACAGTAAGCATGGGTGCACCACAAGCTACACACTCTCCTCCTGACTATACCTCTAAGTAACATCTTTGCTGAGGGACTCGTGACCGAACACGTTGTATCCGTAAAGCGGGGCTAACCGACGACCATATATGGTGTGAAACTATTATCACAGTGCCACAGCGAGCGTGACTGCGTGCAATGGGCGCACGTGTGTGTGTGGGATATTTGTTGGTGCAGCGAGCGCACCTGTCTATAAATTGAAATGGAATATTAAAGTATGTTTCTTGTGATTGCTGATGTTTTTGAAACGTGTTAGAAAATGTGTGGAATGGGTAAAGTGAGACTCAATGCTTTTTTGTGTGTGTATGATAGTGTAGAGTACTCACCCTTACATTTATTTTTCAAGTGATCAAGACGATTAATACTGAACTCAGTGAAGGGATGAATGACACTACTATATGGCTTAGATTTTATTTTGAAAATGTGATGTAATTGAATTAGTCCTGTAACAGTCACTCAATACAAATTTGTAAACCCTTATTATTTTGAAATGCTTTGGTGAAATTATGTGTTGAAAAAATATATTTAAATGAAAATTTTATTATTTCCATTTTATGAAATTCATTATTTCAAAATTAAATTTAAGGTGTTACAATAATTTTAAACTATGTTTTGAAATCCTATTTATAAACAAATACAACATAACTCTCTAAAACACGTATTTTATATTATAATCGCCTCTTCTAATACATTTGACTTTTCAACATAAATATTCCTTCTTCTTTGAAGCCTTTGTACTTGGGATTATTCACTTAGAGATAATTTGTTTTAATTTTTTTTAACAAAATAGTCTTTGACCAATTTTCAACATTAATCAATGAAGGTAATCTTTTTTAAAAGCACCTCAAAACATCCTTTTTTGACTAACTTTTGACATCTTTGCAATTTTATCTACAAATCATTCATGAACCTATCTAAAACTTATTGAAATGTCACTTTTTGACTATTAATCATATTTCCTTAGTCACAAGTTTTCTGTGTAAACTAGTTGAAAATATCATTTTTTCAAATAAAATTTCATGTCCTTTTACTTTGATTAAAACTTTATATTTTCTTTAGCTATCTTTTCACAAAAACTTGTTAAAAAAATTTCATTCCTTTTTAAACTAAAAATCAATGTGTCTTTGATCATCATAATTTTATAAAAATAGTCAAAAAGTGAAAACTTTTTTGAAAGCTGTGTTATAAAACTTCTATTTAATCAGACTATGTACAACATACATGTAATTTTTCAAGAAATTGTAATACATTTTTCACTTTTCTTTTTTTTTTACATAAATAACTCAAACACACTTCAATTAAATTAAAAACTTTATTTGATCAGATCATTATAATTTCAAAAATTTAATTTCTCTCAATATATATAATATTAGGTGAATTTTGCATGAACCTCTACAAAATTAGTTTATGACAAATAAGTTAATAAATTACTATAAGATCCATAACTTATTTTATGACCAAATATTAATAATAAAACACTAGTTGTTATAGAAAATTAAGTTATGAGATATGATTGTCTCAAATATATTATTGTATCAAAAGTCAAAATTATACTTATTTATAGAAAAATCCTATGGCTGAAAGTTTGAAAAACTAAAATATAAAAAAAAAATATAAAAAGTAAAATATATATATATATAATTATAGTTTTAATGAATTTATAAAATATAAAACATCAAAATGACATATGTGAAGTTTTATATATTATATATAAAATAAATTAACGTATATTTTTAATTATTAGAGTAACTTAGAAAATTTCATAGTGTAACTATTATAAATACTTTTTCTTTTAAAGACATAATTTTTAAAAAAGAAAATTATAGGAAAATGCACTTCAATAACCAGTATTAATAGAAAATAAATAAATTAATGTTTTTATGTTTCAACTTAAAGGTAAGTTTAAATTTCATCCTCTAATTTTTATTTTTTTTAATTATTTTAGTCTTCTAATTTTTAAAAATATTTTAAATATGTCATTTTATATTAAAAATGCTAACTTTGTAACAAAATTTGTTACTTTGTGTCACATGTATTGTGCATGTATTGTTTATTATCTTTAACCACAAGTCTATGCACTGTTTATTATAATTTTTAACTCAAATGTCACTACATCTCACTGTTTTGAACTAATAGAAAAGTGTCACTTTGTTACTACTATCATCATATGAGGAAAAACATGGAGAAGTGATCATGAAATTATAAAAAAATGTCACCACACCTCACTTTCTTTTTCATATCGTGCTTTAAAGCTACTTTGGACTCATTAAGTTTGTTATTCCTCTTGTTTCTTACTTCAATATTTTTTATCTCTACATTTTCTTCCTTTTCACATTCATAATTTCATCCTAACATACGAATAAGTAATTAACTCTTTCTCGTGTGAACTATTTTCTTTACTAATGTTAGATTTTTTTGCCAACATGATACCCATTTCTCAACTCAATTAACTCTCTTTTTTAAATCAATTTCTCTTGTAACATTGGATGATATGTCAACTTGATCCTCTTCAAACTCAGATGATGCTTCTACGCTAAGTCATGTTCTTAAGTTAACCTACATACTTGATCAATGGTAGGTCCATAAGCCTAACTACATAGTACATAATACATTATATTAAAAGCATTGAGTCTAGAAATAACTCAATAACTTATTATAATGACCCACTTCATTGACTCTTATTCTTTCTATGTAGAAATTGTGCTTTGAAATATTAGATGATAATAATGATGTAGTATCAATTTGTTGCTTGTTCAAATTAGGAGAGAGAGGTGTGATAGCATGTGAAAAAAAAAAACATAAACTTAAGGTTAAAAACGATGATCAGTCCTATGAGGTATAAAACAACAAAAATTTTAATGGCGTTAGTATTTTGAATAAAAAATGACTTATTTAAATTACTTTTAAAAGTTAAAGGATAAAAATAAATTAAAAAAAGTTAAAAGATAAAATCAAAAACTAATTTAAAATTAGAAGATGAAAACATTAAATTTACCTTAAAAAAAAATACAAAATGTCTATCTTGAATTAATAAAAATTAAGTCAAAATAAAATATAATATAAAAAATTTCCATTATTTTATGAGTCTTCACTAATTTATTTTGTTTAATAAATTTGTATTAACATTAAATTTCACTAATTCAACTATTATTTTAAATTTTCTTAATGAATAGATTAAGTCTATCAAATTTTTTAAAATTTAAAAATTATTTAATATTTTATCAAATAGTTTTATTTTAATATATAATATATTTTTTCAAATATAAATAACTATTAATTATAATATGAAATATTTATAAATGTTTCATTTATTTAAAATTTAATATATAATAATAATAAAGATAATATTAAAGAATTAAATAGTTAAATTAATATAATTTAACAATTAGTAAGGTGAATTCTTTCACTAATATTATTAGATCGTGTCTTTATAATTCAAGTATTTAAACTTTTAATTTTTATATATACATCTTAATGATAATAATTATATGCAATTAATAGATAAAAATAAAGAATATAATTGAATTACTGAGGATTTGAAATTAAAACTTAATATGTGATTACTGTTATCGTTTGAAAATAATTTTATTAAATTTAATAAAACTTCGAACTAAAAAACTAAAATAATACCGGAGTGAAAACAATAAGTGATAAAAACTTAAATTAATTAAGCTAAAGAAAAATGATGATCCAACTATAAAGTGTGAGACAGAGCCAACACGACCCAGGCGATCCAAGGGTGAAAATAAGAATAACAGGAAGAGTGTTTCGTTTTTCTTCTGATGTTCGTAGGTGGTTCCTTCCCACTAACTTCGAAGAGGAGAAGGGTCACCAACGTTTATTCCACCGACATGGATACTGAAACTGCTAAGGTTTCTTTTTCTTACTTCTTCTTCTCTTTCTCGTTTTTCTTTTTTAAAATTTTTTGTTTGTGCAATTTCTGGGTTTTTTTCTTTGATTTTCTATTCATCATAATTTCCGATCTGGGTTTGGTTCATATTTGCCTCTCGGTGCTGCTTCTGTTGATTATTTGAAGATTCGTTGGATTGTTTACTTAAATATAAAGCAAATAATTTGTGTTTTTTAGCTTTCATATGTTTGCCTAGTGTTGTTGAATTGACGTCGATATACACCAACTGTGTACCAAAATAAAAGAAAAAAAAAAGAATCAAAATCAATTGATTGTACTACTCGAAAGAGGGCAGACATTGTGCTTATAATATGAATTGCCATTTACATGGTGTTGTAAAGTTTTAATCTTTTAGTGGTCTCCTTTGTTGTCTTGCAACCAAACTGTTTATAAAGAACTTGTTGGCTAATAGAGTATTCATCAGTTTGCTATGCTTCTTGGATTTTGATTGTCAATAGATTAATCCACTACCCTTTCTGGATTCTTTTACTATTCCACTAGCCTTCTCTTACAATTATTTTACCTAGCATTGTGGGAAAAGAGATTCTGGGGATTTGTTAGCCGGTTAGACTGCGCACTTTTAACATTCTTTGATATTTTATGCCCATTAACAATTATTACAATCGCACCAGCCAGGTTTGGCTACATGATCTATAAAGCCATTTGGCTCAATCAAAAACTATATGTATGTTCAGTGAAAGAAATAATTAAAATGAAAATTTCAAAGGCAACTGAAACAGATAATGCAACTAGTTAAAAGAGATAAGGAGGACAGAATTGTACAAACAAATTTATCCTAGTTCAACCACAATGTGTGACCTATGTCCAGTCCTCAAGCAATAGCTTGAGATTTTTCTTCACTATGTGTGGAATTTTGCTTACAAGGACTCTGACAAACCTTCCTGCACATCAACCCTAAGCAGAGTATGTAGCGGTTTTTCTCACACAAGAACACCACAAAATCTCCCTCTATTTCAACCAAATATAGTGCACTATATTGAAAGAATTCCTAGAAAGCTAACCACAGTCTTTCCTTCTCACTACAATAATAGACTCAATGATAAAGATTTCAATTGCTCATGTATGAGTTACAAAAAAATCAAGACTCTCTTAAGAGTAGAGTTACTAGTCAAGAAACAATTTTAAGTAGGATGAGGAGAATTTATTATCATGTTGCACTCAAAGCTTGCACTTGCTCTTCTCTAAAGCGTCTTCCATATATATAGACTTGATCTCATCAATTTTTGAGCCGACAGAGAGTAACTTGGAAAAAAATCATGGTTGCTAATACTCAAATCAAATTACCTAAAATAAGATATTCCAATCACATTACCTTAAAAAAAATATTCAAGTCTAATTACTTTAAATAAGATGCTCAAATCAAATTACCTTAAATAAATACTCAAATCACATTACCTTAAATATACTCAAATCACATTGCCTTAAATGTACTCAAATCAGATTACATTAAAAATACTCGAGCCAAACTACCTTTATTACGATACTCAAATCAAATAAGAAAATAATTGATATGCTCTATTTTTAATTCCTGCACATAGTTTCTTATTTTAATGCTTAAACTCTAGATACATCATCAAAACATAATATACCTAACTTCCGTAAACACATTAATCATTTAGATCATGGTCTTTATTAAGGTTTTGCACTTTTGCATACGTAGTCTTTCTTTATCCCATTTGTGAAGTTTATCTTCCATATGATCAACTTTTCTTAAAGCGTTTTCCTCTACCCCTTTGATTTTTAAGTTTGACATGCCCATCAATATTCCCATCAGTTTGTAATATGGGTTACAAGATACCTAAGCAGTGCAACTTGCAAGATGATGTGATGTCTGTTGTCATCTTTAAAAGATTTTAACCTTTTGTCTTACTGAATTTGTATTCCATTTTGCTTCCTCCTATATAACCAGAAATCAGTTGGTTCCAAAACCTATTCCCACAGCTAAGTTTTTTTGACCCAGTTTGCTTAAAACCTATTGAAACGCTAAAATCCCCAAAATTTATTCAGAACTTCCTTCCTTCCTCTGCTCTGCAATTCTGTTTCACTTTACACAACCTCATTTTGCTTTGCTCCGGCGCACTGTGATCTGCGAGCTTCATTTTGCGACTTGCGAAGCTTTGTTCTACAACCTACAGCTTCTTCCGTCCTGCTGTTGTGTGATGCTACGCTGCTGCGGTTCTCTCTCTAGATTCTTTTGGTGTTTGTGTGGTTGGGGCTGTTTTTGCTTGTCAATCCAAGTTGCTAAACTTATGGGCATAGTAGTCAATCTCGGAAGCGGCGCAGAGCGATTGACCCGAAAAACGCTATAGCGGCATAGCGGATAGCAGGATGGCTGCTATTTTGAAGTTCTAAGTATTATACCTAATATAAAAATAATATCCAAAACAGAGAGAAATAAAAAACAGAGACGAAGATAAAAAATAGATAAGGAAATAAGAAAACAAAGAATTGGTCCATCACTAGAAAATGTGCAAGTTCGTCGGATGTTTTATCAGAGATGAAGAAGATGATCGGAAATGACTGGATCACATTGGAAACTTCGCCGAAGTTAAAGAAGACAATTGGAGATGAAGACGACCGAAACACATCTAAGTTACGTCAGAAGCCTTGCCGAAGAAGAAGAAGGACACCAGAAGCAAGAGAATGTCACAAAGAATGAAGATGGGGAAGAACAAACCGAAGAACTGAGAGACGTAAATGAAAACTTGGGGCTCGTGAGGAAGAAGATATCAAAAATGTAAAAGGGGGTGAAATCCCGAGATTACCCCGATTTAAAGATGTCCAACATTAAGAAAGCAAGGGCAAAGTTGGGTTTTGGCCAGGGATGAAATAACGGCTGCTATGGCTGCGATTCTCCCGCGATTTGGCTGCTATTTGCGGCGCGATGGCCGCTCCACTGAAACACGATGCTATAAGCTCCCCATAGCGGCGACCTGCCGCTCTGCTCCACTCCTCCGCGATAGCGGCCGCTATGGCCACTATTGACTACTATGCTTACGGGTGTATCTTTTAGGGTTTTTTTTAAGAGTAAAAAAGACTTTTTATCTTTTAAAAATAAACTAACTTTTCTTTTTTTTTTCCCCTTAAAATGACACTGTTTTAAGTTTTTTTAAAAGGGTAAAATAGTCTTCTCATCACAATACGTTACCTAACTTATCTTTTTCCTTCTTCCCGTCTCTCATCTCCATCTTTGCTTTCTTTTAGTGGGCATCTGCTATTATTTAGCTTCTCTCATCTTCATATTTATACTGTTTTATATGTATATATACAATTTTGTAGGATCTTGCGATTCGTGTTACGATCCTACGAGTTACAATCTTTCATCCCCTCTCCAACCTATGTAGAATCTTGATTTTGACTAACATACTAATGATGTCTATATGTGGCATTTTGTACTTAATTTACTCTGTATATAGCTTGTCATGTAAATGTTTTTGTGTCATAAATAGTTTGGGGTTTCTAACTCCTCTTGAATGTAGACTATTATTTGTATATCATAATTCACCTTATTAAATTAAAATAATGATAAGAAGGCCCATCAACCTGTCCTCTAAAATGATTATCTTTCATTCCATAAGGCATTGTAAATGTTTCTCCAGTGCATGTACATATGATTAATTTATTTCTTTGTGCTACAGCCGACTTTTTGTGGTTCAGGTTTATTGCCTTTTCACTTTGATTAATCATTTATTTCAATGATCTTTCCTTTACCATTATATTTTATGGAACCAGGCCAAGCTTGCAGCTGTTAAAGAAAGATTTGGACGAGAGATCCATGTTTTTGAAACATCAGCCCTTTCTTCTACGTCAAATGCTGCATTATCTAATGGTATACTTTAAATTATTGATGTTGATATTTATATAATATAATTTTCTCTAATATCTCCTGATTAAACTTATACTTTTGTTTGTATGTGGAAGGAGAGGAGACTGATGACTTCTATGAGTTTACTGCTGAAGATTATTACAGACTTTTGGCTGCTAAAAAGGAAGGTAACAATGATATTAATCATTCCATGTGAGTGAAGAACTGCAATCTTATTAAGCACATATTGTTGCCTAATGTTCATGCCCTGTTTCATCTGAGGAATATGCCACATATTCTAAATTTAACAATGACCTGAATAAAATTACACATCATGTAAGCCTATGCATTTGCATTGATGTAGACTTCAATTTATGCTGTGTTTGGAATGCCCCCCTCCCTCTGCTAAGGGAACAGAATGTAATGAGAGGAGATAAGCTGGAAAGGGAAAGAATGAAAGAAACTTACCATTCTGTATGTTTGGATTGCTAATAAAGCAACAGAACAGAGTTCCATTATCTTTGAGTTTTTCCTCCTATTCCTCTACAGTTTTTGGGGAAGCAAACTTTGTATCTTTGACTGAAAATGGTTTCCCTTTTGTTCTGTTCCTGTACCTATTTTTAAGCACCCAAACAGGAGAATTTTCTCCTCTTCCCCTCATTTTCTTTCAATTACCTGACATAAAAATATGATGTTAATGGAAAAACTGATGATCAGATGTGATGTTGAGAAAACAAAAGTTCATGAGTGAGGAAATCAGGCAACGATTATTTTTTAGTTCATGGTCAGTAAGTTATTTGTTTGCACCATTAATAATTTAGATGTGCCATATCTTACTGTATATTCATGTTAGGAATGCATAGACAGAATATTCCCTTCATGACATTGGAATTTAAATGTATTAAACTTGCTCAGATAAATTCTTGAAAACTCGAAAAATCCGAGAAGCAGAAGAGGTGGCTCGTAGGTCAAGCATAACCAAAGTAAAGTCTAGCTTCTTCTCATTGATATGTGATTTTTGAAATGTGATAATTATTTAAGTTTCTGTTATAGTTCCATGTTGTTTATCTTTTTTTCACTGTTCATAATTTTTTTATGAATGCTGAAATAATTAGATCAGTAAGGAATGAACTTATCTATTAAGTTGGTTTGGTCTGGTTTCCAGGCTGTAATTAGAGTTCGCTTCCCCGATAATCACACATTGGAGGGTACCTTCCACCCATCAGAAACAGTCCAGAGTTTAATTGATCTCCTTTCTAAAGTGATTGCACAGCCAGAGCAGCCATTTTATATATGTAAGCATATTAAAATAATATCCTGTAAATGATAAAAAATTTAATGATTTTTTCCTATGATGACTGTGGACTGACCTTTATAGCATAATGAAAATTCCTATAACTCATTTACCATTAGTTTTGCATAGCCCATGATGAATCATCTCTTGGTATGGATTATAAATTGCTAACCTATAGAGAGTTGATATAATTTGAAAAATAATTCATATGCATTGTTGATGGTGCAGATACTACTCCACCTAAGAAAGTGATCCATGACTTGTCTCAGGATTTTTATAATGCTGGCTTTTGTCCTGGGGCCATTGTGTACTTCTCATATAATGTCCCAAAAGGTAAGTTCATCCTGTCAGAAGAATCTTTTTGCGGAAGTCTTACTGTAATGTCCTTTGAATGTTCTGTTATCTAGTATACAACAATATATAGATTCTATTATATCTTAGAATTATTTAAAGTATACAATAATACATAGATTGTATCTTAAAATGTTCTTTGATATCTTAAATATTATCTTTTGGGATTAGTTTTATTTATTTTTCTTAATTTTCATATTTTAGAATATCTTATTATTTATTTCTTATTTAGTTAGAATTATAAGTGTAAATAGACATCTCAATTAATATCAATTTAGTGATTCATTCCTTTTTATCTCCCTTCCTGAATGCTTAATATCCCATAATTTTAACATGGTATCTAGAAACTAAATGGTTGGAGAATGTTAAAAGTATCTCAGAGAGAGAGAGAGAGAAATAGAAACCAAAAGAATTGAAATAAACACTAGGAAAGCAAGAGAAAATGACGAAGTAGGCATCATTTGGTATGAAATGTGTTAAGAGAGTTGCTAAAGCTATATTGAGTGAATGTAGAGGTTTTGGGCCAAGAATAAGAGGAATCTTGGTGGTAAGATGAAAGGGTGTAAGAAAAGGTTAGAGGTAAGAAGCACTGTTCTAAAGTTTTAAGTAGATGCAATAATGCTGACTATTCCTCATGCAATGATGACTTTATTTAAATTAAGTTAATAAATCACTTCTTGTTAATAATTTGTTGTAGAAGATGATGAATAAGAATATGACATACTAGTTTTAAGGCACGAAATCAATATCTATCTTTAGAGATATATTCGTCCCTACACAAAGTTGCTATGGGTTGATGACGAGACTCCCAGGATACAATGAAACATTTAAATTTCTTGTCTAGCAATAACAAGAAATTCTCTCTTGAAATTAAGAATACTCAAACTCATATGTTACATAAAGTAAAAATCTGTTACTTGTTCAACAATGAGGATTATTTATAGTTGATGATTATATGCAAGTGAACAATTATATCTTTACATAATCTTTATTCACTTGAAAGTCATCTCTTTAAAATCAAGAGGTACTGTATGGAATTTGAAAGTTATTTCCTTTCATCATTTGGTGCCATTAAAGGCATTATATGTGAACCAATGCACTTTTTCATGGTTCCAATTTTATTCTTGGACCTTAACAAGCAAATAGCTTGTAACGTTATGAACGTTACAATGAAAACGGTTAATAACCGTTTCATCTTTCTTAATTATTTAAATAATCTACTATTAAACTTGTAAATATATTTCAATCCCCTACTACTTTACAAGTTTAAAATTAATTTATGCATAAAAAATGTCACAAGGATTAAATATTCCTTTAGTGTAAACTTTGAAGGTTTTGACAGAGTAATAGATGTCTAATTGATTAAACCTTTGTTCCCTATGTTAGTACCAAAAAATTTTACAAACATAAATTGTATTTCTTATCAAGTTCAAGATCTTGTTAATTTGAAGCACTTTTATGGCCATGTGCATATCCTAGTCTCATGAATATTTACAAGAATAAAACCTCTAAAGTTCTCAAACAAAGCGACACCACTCCTGTATTCACATAGGTGAATTCCTTTGATAAGTAATATTATCAATCCATTAAGAGTTTTAACTTACTCTCTTAATATATATATATATATATGGCACTAAATCCTATATCTTAGTGCTTCAATTGTTAAATAACTTGTTTTACCCATTAAACCTTGAAACCAGTGTTCTACTAGAATAAGGTTGGGCTCCAATTATAGGTTTTAATCCCATTTTAGCAGTAATCTCTTTGACCTTAGCTTTTGACAAACTTTTAGTCAGTTGTCTACTAAATTCTCTTGAGATTTTACATATGTGATGGTAATTGTATCATCTCCTATTAATTGCCTCACAAAGGTAATTTTGTCTCTTTTTATCTTGTTTGGCATCCACAAATGATTTCTTTCTTTTGCCTTTATTGGCATTTACTTCTCCAACATGGTTCACTTTAGAACTTCGAGAAAGATATATATTACGTTTTCGAGTTTTCTCTTCTATATGTAAATGCCTTAATAATCTTTCAAGAGAGAAGTCTTCTCTAAGATGTAGGAGTTCTTCTTATAATCTTTGAAATAATTGCTCTAGCTTGTAATGATTCAGGAACTACTACTTGTAGATCACGAAATCTACTTACAAGAATTTGTAACTCATGAATCAACATGAACTTGATTCATGATAGACACGTTATCAACCATACTAAATTTAAAGTGTTTTAACATGATAAATTTATCCATATCTTGTAGTTCATTATTGTATTTTTCTTCTAAAGACTTCCAAAACTCTAATGGCGATTGGATTGATATGTAGAGATCATAAAGTCTATCTGATAAGGTGTTGAAAATGTGTCCTCGGCATGCAAAAGTATTCTCATCACGCTCTTTCTTCAATTGCACAATCCTTTTCTTTTCTTCATCAGTTGCATCTTTAGTAGTATTGGGAATTTGTGTAGTATTTGGATTAAGCACATAAGTAAGATTTAGTACTGAAAGAAGAAACGTCATTTTATCCTTCTATTAGTTGAAGTTTGCCCATCGAATCGAACTAGTTTGACAAACTCTTGATTCATGACATTAAAAATAGTATTCTGATTTTGAGTCATTTTCAATATAATATCTCTAAAATTGTTAATAATTTGACGTAAAAGACAATGAATAAGAATTTGAAATACTGATTTTAAAGTACGAAATTAATCATTATCTTTAGAGAGATATTCGCTTCCACACAAAGTTGCTATAGGTTGATGACAATACTCTTTCGGAATATAATGAAACCTTTAAATTTCTTATCTAGCAATAACAAAAAAATTTCTCTCTTGAACTGAATTTAATAACACTCAAACTCATGTTCCACAAAGTAAAAATCTGTTGCTTGTTCAACAATGGAAATTATTTATAGTTGATGATTATATGCAAGTGAACAATTACATCTTTACATAATTCTTTATTCACTTTAAAGTCATGTTTTTAAAACCAAGAGGTATTGTACGAAATTTAAAAGTCATGTCCCTTCATCATTTGGTGCCATTAAAGGCATTATATGTGAACTAACGCACTTTTCCATAGTTCCAATTTTATTTCTGTACAGTCTTCACAAGTAAATGTCTTGTAACGTTGTTAACGTTACAATGGAAACGGTTAATGACCATTTCATCTTTCTTAATTATTTAAATCATTTACTATTAAACTTGTAAATAAATTTCACTTGTATCTTTATGTGATTTACCATAACTATCAAATAATGCCACTTTTGACATTCCCCTGTTTAGAAGTTCCTTGTGCCACCCCTATTTGTAACCATCTCGATCCCTCATTTTTATAGAACATGTTAAACCTCTTCAATCTCATCATGATCTACACAAAAGGAGACAATGTGAACTAACTTTCAAGTGTTACAGTCATTGATTTTTTTTATTAATTGAGAGCGGTCCTTCATCGTTTTCAGGCTATATAATCCATGATCAAATTTGCTTGGTCTTTAATATACAATTACCATGGATTGCTTATTTTTTGTTTTTGTTGTGTTGTGTTGTACCTTTTCTTTGCCCGCATATTGTGCTTTGGTATGTTTTTGAGTGAGTTTAACTCAATCCTAAAAGTTAACCTGTCAGTTAAGGATTGCCTTAACCTTTATAAACTCTACTTTGGTTATATATAGTTTATGAGAGATTTAAAAACACTCTCTTGCACTCAAGATAAGAGAACATGAAAATTGTCAGATTGATTTATTTTTTAATTGCACTAGTAAAGTTTTGGAATTAGGTAGATTGCACTGGAAAAATCGTGCAGCCAAGTAGTAAATTACATTGGAAAATTCATAGACTTACATTAATTGCATTGAGAAAATTTGTAGGGTCAAGATATTTTTCATAATTTATGATAAGCTCTACTACCATATTAGATTTGGGCTTGAGCCTAAATCCCAAAAGTTAGCTTGTAATATGAGAATTGCTGTAACTTTATAAACTCTAGTCATATTTATAGTCAATGTTAGATTTCAACTGTATCTACAAGAACTAATTTAAGGAGCAAAATGAAAAATTCATTTTATATAGGGACCAAACTAAAAAATATATTATGTATAACAAACAATAAAAAAAATGTGTAAAACATGAGATGACGATAAGGAGTAAGGACCATTTCAAAAACAGTTTTTCGTTCAGGGACTCGTTTACAAACTTCTATTGTGTAGGAACTAAATTGAAAGAATAAATTTCGTATAGGGACAAAAAAACATTTAAACCAAATTATTATTATTATTATTATTATTATAAATAAGAGTTAATGCTTTAGGATTTATCATAACATATACATCTCATTGTAGTATGTCTCTCTATTAACATCAATTTAGAGATTTATTCTCTTTTCCCCCACTATGCCTAAAGCCCCATAATGTTTGTTTAATAATAATTATCAATTTGGTATTTATATTTGACATTAATTTTCATTTTAGTCTCTGCAAAAAATAAAAATAAAAATCCTACACTGTTGTCCTCAACTGAAAATTCATTGATAAATTAGTCTTTGTCGTTAATTAAAGATAAAACAATGTTAAAAATCGAGTCCTTATTTCTAACACTGTTTCTGTTTTTACTCCCTATATTTATACTTCCTTTTGGTCCTTCTCAATATAAAAATTATATTTTGACCCCTACACATGATATCTTGTTTTTCGGTTTTGTCCTTGCACGAAAAATACATTAATGCCTTTATAACTTCTATAAATTATGGGAAATAATTTGTAAAATGTTTTTCTATTAAGACCAAAATAGAGGTTTCCGTATAGGGATTAAAACAAAATGTTAGAGATATATATATAGACAAATTATGATCTAATCCCTTTCCCCTTAAAGACATATTTGGAATATTTGTATGATCGGCTTTGAAGCCTGTTCACTGTTCAAATCCTTTATTTAAGTTAGCAGATGCATTTCGTTTATGTTATTTTGCGACTGGTCTGGGAAAATTCAGATTCTATATCTATATATTCTCCTTTTGCGCTGTCATGTGTATATATATCTTGTTAGCTAAGATAAGAGAGGTGTGTTTTCCACTCCAAATCTATCATACCGTGCGTACTTCATTAAGTAAATGCAGTTAAACAGCGGATGTGTAAATTTTGCATAATACTGTAGTTTTTTTTTTCTTTTGCATAATGCACCATTGTTGTTTATTTCTAGTGAACTTGAGACACACTGTAAAGGGGTTGTGATGAATTGTTTCATTCTCACCTTGTTTGGGATAGTAATGACCAGCTCTCTGATATATTTTCCTTTCTTATTTAATGGGATGTTTAGGTGATGGCACTGTGGTTGACCAAAATGGTCCTTACCTACAAGAAGAGATCTTATCTCTGAAGGATTTGAATGTTGCTGATGATCAAGGCCAGCAATCGGAGGCTGAGCCTGTGCAGTCAGCACCAGAGCCCGTTGAGGCCACGCGACCACCACCTGTTGAAGAACGCAAACCTGCTGAGAAAAAGATTGTTAAACCAAAGTGGCTAAAAATGTGATATCACTTTTCTAAAGGTCCAGTGATCTTTGTTGTAGCAAAGGATCTTCACCTGTGCTCTATCTATACGTATAAATGGGTCATTGCGGTTACTCCTTTTGTGGGTTGTGGCTATTAAAGTTATATCTTAATTCAATGTATCATGCGAAGTCCACAAGAACACAGCACAGTTACTTCTCTCGTCCTCAGCCCCTCCTTCCTTTTCTTATATATTCATGAATTTGAAATTTGTAGATAATGTTTGAAAACGTTGGATAAGTTTCTTTAGGTGAATGCAAGTATCTCAGTGGATATATGTATTATTTCCTTGTTATGTTATAGCTGTAGAGTTGTTTTCCTTTAATCGTGACCTGAAATGCAAGTATCTTCGTAATACTATTTGCTTATTATTAGTATTGATTTTTGACAACGTAGGTCTTACGAATTAGTTACCACAATAAGGCAATTCCTTGAGTAATTTCTACTTTGGGGTCTTTCTAGTAACATTTGTAAGCTATGCCTTTTTTTTTCTTTGTTTTTTTTTTTTCGTAGCTTAAGTTTTACATATACGTGTAAGTCGTAATAACCTACACTCTTTGGTCTTTTTAATAAAATTATAATAATAATTTTTATTTCCAATTATAAAAATAACAATTCATTTTTAAATATATCAATTGTTAAATTATTTTTATGTTTTTATTTATTATGAAATTCGTGTTAATAGAGAATTTATTAATATAAATAAATATATTTACTTTTTACAAGAAAAGTTTTACCTTTCTGAATGATTGGTCATATATAATTTAAATCTTACATTTTAAAAGTGTATAATGAAACGTCCTATACTTTTGAAATTATGTAAAAAAGTACTCTTATTACTTAGTTGTTTGATTTTTTTTATTTTTGGACAAATACTTTCAAATTATTAATTTTTCTTTCTCTTGATAGTTTTGAGGGGGTATTTTTGTTAAAAAAAAAAGTAAAGAAATTGGACGGCTTGATAATGAAAGATTTTTTTTTCATATTTTTAAAAGTATAGGATCTAAATTACACATGATTAAACATTATAGATATTTTAGGATATCAATTTATGATATATAATTTTGGACTTTGAAGTGAGTTATAGAAATCAATTAAGAAATGATTGCAAAAGAGAGTTTGAAAATTGATTTTTCAATATCATTGGCAATGAAGATGATATTATTTATATTTTTTTGTCTAAATTTTAGAATAGCTTTGTGATAATGAAACTAACTAGCAAAAAGTATTAAGGCTGCTAATAGCAATACACCAATTGCCGTACACTAGAATTGTAATTCATTAATTGCTGGTCAAATCTAAAAAACACTTGTAAGTAACCCTCCCCTCTACATCACCATTTCATATTTCTTAGCCTACTATTGGCCAAACCACATATGGAGAACTTCTAATTGAAACAACCGATTGAAAGAAAAAAAAAGTTGTATACTTCAAAAATAATTAGAACACTTCTTAGTGATACTAAGATATCAAAATAGTGCAATATGGGGTAATTAATTTTCTTCCAAGAATTGGAGGTATGTTTGATTACTCTTTTAAAAATAGTTTTCTGTTTTTTTTAAAAAAAAAAACAAACACTCTCTTAATCTCTTTTGTCAATTATAAATTTATTTTTTACTTATAAAATATTCTTTCAAATACTTTTTTTTAATTTTTATAGCTTTTATTGATTGCATTAAATTCTTTTACTACTGGCTCCCTTCTTATTCCTGATTCTTGAATTACGAAACATATTAGTTTCTTATTTGAAATTCAAACTTTCATGCCAAAAAATAAAAATTAAACTTCTAACCATTTTAAAAATTTTACATCATTTTCCATAAAATTTTGTTATTTTTTATTTTATTTTGTTCTATCCCCACTCTTAGTTCTTTTTATTCCCCTTCTCCATTTTAACGTTGGTTGCAACGATGCCACTTTGACTGCCAAATATATTTTTTTTTATTAAAAAACTATCACTGATCTCCTCCTCCTTTATAACCCAACGTTACTTTGATTTCATTTATATTCCTGAGTAAAGATATTTTCAAAAGTAAGTTATCTCTCTCTCTTTATTCTCCTCCTTTCTCTTTAATATTTTTAATATATTTTCTAAAACACTTTTATTAATTTAAACTTTAAACACCTGATATACACAACAAGGAATTATCAATGAGATAAGTTGAGTTTAGCATTTAAAGTTTAAGATTGATTTGTTAAAAAAAAAAACTCAAACTTGATATATTTATTAAACAAGTCATATTTTTACCTTAAGCTTGACTTTATTAAAACAATTTAAGCTTGATCTTAGTTCATTAGCTTATTTATGATTTGTTTATTTATTTTTAACAAACTTTGAATAAAATTTTATTTATTAATTTAGTGTTTACTACATATCTTTATGCTAAAAGGTAAATTTAAATGGTAATAAAATATGATTTTACTAGCATGAATATATTCTAATATTAGAAATAAAATCTTTGATTATAAAAATATAGTGAATTTCTTTAAAAAAAGAATCATGATCATTTATTTAAAATATAACTCTAAACAATCAAAATCAAGTAATTATTTTGGGTGTGTACATCCACACAAGACATACTTATATTAATTTATTATTTAATACTTTTTAATGCTAAAAATAAATAAAATATATATTTTTTTTTAATCTATGTGAAGATGTTTTAAGTAAAATGAACTTAGAATTAAAACAGAGTCATGCCTCTCCCCACCCTTAGTTTTATTTTATTTTTGTTGTTTTCGTATTCTTCTTAGTTTTTTCTTTTCTTTTCTTTTCTTTGAGATTTCAGAAAAATCTTTGTAATCTATCAATTTTTCTTTTACATAGACAACTTTAGGTAAATTTTTAGGGTATCATCTATTGCAGATAAAATTTTTATTTGGATTCTTAATGTATAGTCAAAACTCAAATATATGAAAATATTTTTATTTTTGCCAAGTTTTCATATTTAAAAAATGTGCAGTTTAGAGATTTGAGTATAAATATAAGATTTTTATTATTAAATTTAGTTCTAATGTCTTATTAAATGTTATTGGTATTTAAATTTGTTGACTAGCACTTTCCTCACTGTATCAAATTGGTTCTTCAATGTTTATGGATGGATAGTCATCATAGTGACATATTTTATAATTATTATTCTAATTACTTATCATGTTATTATTGTTTAAAAATTATTTACTTGAGAAAAAAAATTCATTAATTTATTTTTTATCATATAAAAGCTTATGACAATATGGATTTTGTCCAATAACATGAGTATATTTGTAAAATGATAAAATATATATATATATATATATTAGAACCTCATAACTGTTATCAAAATAACAATCTATATGCACCTATTGAATGAGATAAAGCTGTTTTGATTAAGATAAATTATGACAAAACATAATTAAGAAGATGACTACTTGTTGGATGAAGCTACCTCTAATGAAGTGAAACTATCTTGGACTTTTGTTCTTACATGTTTAACCTTTATAATATTATATATGTTTCATTTATTATGTTTTAGAAAATTATTATTATTTTTTTATATATGTGTGTATTATATCATTGTAGTTGTTAACTGAATGAATATTTTTCTTTAACATTATAAATTTATTTATTTATTAGTTATGATCAAATTTGTGAAAATGTTATTGTTTTTTTTTAATTTATTTTTTACAAATCTTATAAAAAGATTGCAGGCTTCTAGAAACTTTGACTTATCCTAATAGAATCTCCACGGGTAATCTTCCATTATTTTGCTTGTCTCTTAATTTTTAATTTATTTTAGCCTCTCTGCACTTGTAGGCGAGTTAAATCTTATTTTTGTTTTGTAATAAATATTTTAGTATTGATATTATGAGAATCTTGAATCTCATTGGGTGTTGTTGAATTATGAATCGATTTTTAGGACATTGAAATAAGATGAAATTTATCAAAATTTCAATAGATTTGTCTTAAAAAAAATTATTATTTTATATATTTGCTTCTAAATAGAGTTGTTAGTTTAAGTGATATCTTTTCATAACTTAGCAAGTATCAACCACGAGTTCTATTTTAGTTATGACATTAAGATTAGAAATAAAATATTTGACAATATGTATATATAAATATAAAATGATAAATAATATCAATCCAATATATCTAATAAATCTTAAATAATAAAAACAACACAGGTAAATAAAAGCCTATAAAAAGAATATAGGTAAATAAAAAGTCATTTGTTATGCATGTTTCAGCCAAGACTTTTTCATATAAAAGCCAGTCATAACGTATCCAGCCTAAATATTTGTTTCTTTTTCTTTGGAATAAAGTAAATCGATAAAAAGAAATAATGAGTCATCCCAAGAAGTACTTAACATTTGTTCAAGTGTTATCAAGCCATTTTTTTGGGGTACTTGTAATTTTACCTTGAGGATCCTATTTTGTAAGCAACACACTACTACTGTCGGAATAGATTATTATTAGTTATGCTTTAATTTAAAGTTAACTTTGCCATTGTGTACGTGTGTTTGTGTATAAGCTATTTAAAAACTTTTTATAATAGCTTATCTTATTATACTCTATGAAACCTCTTTCTTTTTTAATCAATGCATTATGCATTTCCAAGAAGATCAATCTCACGTAAGATTAAGATCACCAAAACAATCAGGCAAAATTGCAGTGTTTGTGGAATATCCTCGTACAACGATGATACAACAGCAAAAAGGCCAATGGCACGGGAAAAGGAAACTAATCCTAACCATCTAAATGTTACAACAACAGTTTTTACACTCACATGAATACCAGCATATACTCATTAAACCAGAAAAGCCTGCTGGTTTTACTAGAAATCAAATATCTAAAAGCAATGACCTAGGCGCACCATCTCGATGGCAAATGTCACTCATTAGTCGTCATCGTCAAAACAATTACACATACATACACGTGGCATCCTACTATCTGGTTCTACAAAAGTGGTTTTCAAAATTGTCAATGCCTGTGAGAATGCTTTCGGCTGCTATAAGTAACCTCTTTCTTTTCTCTGTTTCGTCTATGCATCATCCTTAAAGTAAAGGAAATGCCCCCCACAGCAGCCATAGCATAAAACGCTCTGTATGGAGCCAAAGTCAGACCAGAAAAATAGGACCAGTATCCAGCAATGAGATAGATAAAATATAGCTGAACATTGCGGATGGGGATCCCAGTAAAGGACAAGAAGGAGGAGTTAAACTCGGGCTTTGAGTTGCAGATGCCATGAAGAATGACGCCAATACATAGCACTGAATCCAGGAGCCATGGGAGGCTCTCCCCCAATGCCAGTCTCTGCAAAATTATTAATTAAAAAGCAATTAATAAAAAAGAGAGAATTCCAGCATGAAATATGCTTCTATCAAATAACAAATAAATGGTATATTGCAATCATAAGCGGTAATAGTATATTTTCTTTCCAGTAGTAATCTAGCAATTGCCATGAACTATGCTTCTATCAAATAGCAAATTTCAAAATTAACAAAAAGCAGAGCTTAGATTTTTCACATTCAAATTGAAGTTCAACTGCACTAATTTATTTCTTATTCATACCCAAAATGATGAAAACACCGTGCACATTCAACAAAACACATTTCATCTTTTTGAAAGAGAAACAAAACCATTGAAATATAACAATAAAAGAAAATTAAAAATGTGTTTTTTTTATAAGTGTTTGGCATCTAAGTAATCTATCTAGCCATGAAGGGAGAAACAAAATCATACGTTAAATTCTGGGTCAGAGATCTTGTAAACATATTTTACTGCCTTCTTAATAATGAACTGCAATGCTTTTGCAGTGGAGATAAGAATGTTTTGTTGTACTGGCATTATATAGCACAACTGCTATCTCTCCTAGTCTTCACCAGGAGGCTATGGTTAACCATCAACCACATTCCCCATTGTTTCAATAGGGCCTCCCTAGAAAAATCCCCATGAAAGGTGGTTGCATAAAACAGAATATGTTTAGAATGTTACCATGACAACAATTGATATATATCTTATACCTGGAACCAAGCTACAACAGATGGTGCAAACATCATTGTTGCAACAAGATGCAATATCAATAAGCCATGGCAATGGTGAAATAAATCTAACTGGGAGTCACCAAAACTTTTTGATGAGTCTGGACTGTTGGAGTTGTCTTCTGAAGGGAAAGTCCTGTTAAAACTTCCATCAAATTTGAACTTTAGCCTTTCAGACCCATTGTAGCCTTCACTGTTACAATCAAAATTTTCATTATTCTGTTCTTGGGTGCGACAAGATGCCGTCAGGAAACTGCTAGAAAAACAAAAGAAAATTTTCAGCCTCACAATAGTCAAACACTTGTAAAAATGAGTAGTGAAAGACACAAAGTTGTATAAATCTAACTAAGTACGTCTCAACATCTTCACCAGTATTTAAAATGTTTATCTTACTGATGCAAATGTATGTTAGTTTCCCAGATAATCTTCCAATCAAATAGCATCTTCCCACACACCCAGTAGTTTTCCCTATGCATTGCTCTTGGTATTTAATTCTTACAATCTCATCAAGCATATATCAAAATAACAAATACATAAAATAGGATATCTTCACCTCTACATAATTGAAGTTACTTCAGTTGCCCAGTTACTGTTGCATACAGATAGCATCTTCTAGGGATTATGGACGTGTCAATGAATACACATTTATTGACTAAATTATTTGAGCCCTTAATTGTTCATACTATGGAATTATTTTTTCCAAGAATTCTATGTTTTTTACTTTCCCTTTTTCCTTTTCTTGTTTTCTAAAAGAAAAACTTTTCATCATTTTGCATTTAAATGATTGCATATAAAAGCTGAAGCATGGGCTTTTAGAGTTGCAATCAAGGTAGTTAAAATCGGGATTTTACTTAAAATCGTTAAGAGAAGTAAAAATCGTAAATCGTAAAATCGTAAATCGAATTGTAAGATTTTATAAAAATTATATATATACATGAATATAAGTTCATATTCTGCATATAAAATAGCTGAAATTAAAAATAATATATTAAATCACTAAAAGTACTTAAATAATTCATATTTCATAAGAAAACTATTAAGCATAATCCACGAAAAAACAAGAGGAAGATGAGAAAAAAATAACTAATGAGTAGGTTGGGGCAGAGAGAACCAGAGAAATCGCCAAGAAGAAGAAGAGCACTTAGCTAACAGTGCACTTAAGGTTCAATGAAGAAGATAAGAACGCAGGACTCCTTCGCGCCTAATTAAAAAGTTGTGTCGGGCTAAGGATTTCATTCGCGCCTAATTAAAAGGCTGGGTGGGCTCGAATTATATACAATTTGGGCCGATTTGATGATCCGACCCGTGTTTGGCTGAAATCGGGAGTAAATCGGGATTTCACCGATTTCCCGATCTGAATCGCGATTTCACACCGATTTCAGTCAGCTCCGATTTTTGTTGCGCTCTAAATCGATTGGCTGGGATAAATCGTAAAATCGTAGGATTTTACGATTCGCATCCCGATTTTAACTACCATGGTTGCAATGTCAGCTTCAACTCACTTCTTGTGTATGAGCCACACCAGCAAAAGTTCAACATTCCTAACTTCTTCAAACTCCCCCACGGCAACAGAAAGGAAATGTCATCTTCTCCCCCATAATCAATTCATTCTTAAAGGAGAGTATCAAATGATTTCAAATTAATAGTAACATCTAAATGTTTCGCACTTCAAACTTGAAAACCCAATATCTTGTACTCATCTTTCACAATTACTATAACTACTGTCTCCCTTAAAGTGTGGAGTACACTTTAGAGCATAAAGTGCAATAATAACAGTTGATTGAAAAGTTAACTGTTAAAATTGTGATAAAATACAAGCACATGAGAAATAAATTATGAAGTTACTAAACTCTTAATCGTTGATATCTAAGTAATGACTATTACTGCACACTTTATCCTCCAAAAGAGGGCCTGTATATTAGAGGAGCCAAATCTGTTGAAAACATATCAAATGGATTTAGAAGTTCTAAAATCTCTTAGTATCCAATCCTTAACCTTGATGAAGCCAATCTTAACTACCTATAGGAACCATTTTTTAATTAAAAATTTTCTGTCAATTTAGAGGTGCAACAATAAGAATTAAATCAAATTACTACCAAATTGCAATAAACCCTGTGATTCCTTCAAGATCAATCACATTCATAGTACACACAAAAATACAAACTTTTTATACTTCCGTCATATCACTTATTTTTTCTCCTTTATTGGCACAACAGCATATTAGCCGCATAGAAAACAGGAATGAGAAAAGCATTTAAACAACAGCACCTCTGAACCATAACCCTTCAATCCCTCCCTCCCACCCCACACCCCCCCCCCCCCCCCAAAAAAAAATAATGTTAAATTACACTGAAGGAAAGAATGTTAAATTATCTTGTATCTGTCAGTTGCATGTAAGATTCATTGATAAACATTTGAAATTATAAGCATCCTTTGCAGTAACAACTATAAAGAAATGCATTAAATGTAGATAGATATACCTGCATAGTGCATTGTGACAGCAGAAGAAGTGATAGAACAGAAGTATAAGGAGACCAAAGGATGGATGAACCAAGCTTGACAAGACCATTGCAGTGAGTGCCAAAACAAGTACTGGATTTGCTCTTAGAACCTGAACCACCTATATAATATGTTCCAAGATTCAATGGTCAATGTGCTGAACTTGAAGTACAAAAGAAAACAGGTCATAAAAACCATCACTATCATAACATAAGCACCCAGGCTCGTCTACTTTCCACCTCGATTCTACTATCCCTTTGCCCATAAAGATAAGCAAATCAAAAATGAATTCTTGTGATGAACTAGACCTACAAAATGCAGATAAGAAACCCAACTACAACATCTTTGATCTATAAATCACATGAATATATAAGGTTGTACTATACCTTTAGAGAAAAGAAGCTAGAGGAATTATTAACAAACCAACGAAGAAAAATAAAGCAAACATTCCGTTCCCACATTTGCCACCTGCAAAATATTTATCCATGTCATTTATCATTAGAAATGTAGAAATGTGATTAGCATTTCTTTGATTGATTAGCAAATACATAAAACTCTATTGGTAGAGACAAGAGAATAAATCAAGATATTCAAAGGAAGTGATTCACTAAGCCCAATTCCTATTAATATGGAGGCATACTGCTTGACATTAGCAGACGTATCAGTAGCAAAATTTAGGGTGCGAAGTGGCAACAAATCAGTGACTAACCTTGTCTTGATGAAAATATGGATAACAGCAGCCACAAAGAATACCAAGTGAGATATCAAAATTAGAATAGCAATGAACCCGTTTGCGAATATATAACAAATTAGAGAGATGCCAATGAAGCTAGCAAATGGAGGAAGTGGCTGAGACATCAACAACGAAAGGAAAAAGGAAAAGAAAATGGGTAGAATGGCTAGGGGAAACAAATGTGATATTAGTGTCAAATTGGATTCCACAGCAGTGAGCATTGATGGTATCCGCAGATCAAGATCCCATGAATATGCTTGCCGCATTAAAGCAAAGAAAAGAACAGCAATAGAGAAACCAACTATCTGCATAAAAACAGCCAATAAACAAAATTATTTTATATGCAATAGAATTCACATATTAAGTGGATGGATGTGTAGAGAGAACCAGCGACAACAACAACAAAGCAGCCTTATCCCACTAGATGAGATTAGTTACATAGATCATACAATGCCACTAAGCATGAAGAGAGAATGAAATAAGCAAGTATTAAATATGTATTAACCATATGCACAAACAAACAATTTACCATTGTAAATCACTCAAAAACTCCTAACTACACGAAAGAAAATAAACAATACAAAACTTCCAATGGAAATATTTACAACTAAGTGAGACCATTGGAAGTCCAAATAAACAAATAAAAATGCATGATAAGCAATTATGAAAATAAGGATAACAGAAATTCATACCTTCGGACTATACAACAGCAGAAGCCTACTTGCAGCAGCACTGACTGAAATTGAAATGCTACTCTTATAAGAACAATGTGGATCAACCTGTAGAATAGTGGAGAAATTCAACAAAAAATATATTGCAATACCTGCCAGAATACTAGCTAGTCACAGAAAATAGGTAATTTGGCAATTGGCATCCCCTTATAAATTGCAATAAATGAAAGTAACCCTTTGCTTTATTTGTTGAAGAATTTAAGTGGAAAACAGCTCAATTTTATGTATAGGTGATTCATACCAGCAAAAGAACAACGGTTTTTTCAGATTGCTGAGTTGAACCCCAGTGTGCTGGTGAGGAATCAACAACAATTGTCTCACTGTTCAAATTTGGATATATATGAAGACCAGATGTATCATCCCAAGCAAGTGCAACAGGTGGAAAACAGCGCAATTTGCAGAGTCCTGAAATACCCAGCTACAGTTATCTTAGCTGAAAGAAAACAACAAACACTGCAGAAAAATAATCCTCATAAATTTATAATACATTCAACAGCAAGCATAAATGAAAATCATGCTCAAGCCCAACTTTTATCATAAAAGATAAATTATATCATATCTTTTGGTAACATTTTGGAAGCTATTGGAGAGATCTCCTACAGTTTCAAATTTATCCCCCTCCTTTAGTCCTGTCTTCTTCCCTGTATGTCCCAATTCATGACCTTTGATCTCCTGACTACGGTGTCATGTAAATATCTATTGAAAATAAACAGCTTGAGAATAAAGACTCTGATCAAGGTTTTGGATTATAACCAATAAATATAAATAGCACCATCCTGGAGATAGAGTGATATGAGGTGTAATCTCAAATTTAATATCAAGTATAAAAGCTATAATGTGTAAATTTCCAAGCCCCAACCTTGAATACATCTTGAGTTGCTCTAGTATTTGAACTGCTGACATCAAATAAATATGCAGAGAGTAGACAATGATACAAAAGACTTAAACCCATAGGAAAATAAACCATACATTGGAAAATCATTTGGGAGACACCCTTGTCTGTCGTGATCAAATGCATGTTTTGACAGTACTTAGGTATGAATTAAATAGTATTCAGGGTATGTTTGGGTACACAATTAAACACTTATTACATGAGGGCATATACCATATATTTGACCATGAAACTTAAAGGAATAAGCTAAAATAACTTATTTTGATTAGTTATATTAACTCACTTCCAAAAGCTAGCTTGTAAGAGGAGGGCTACTTAAGTCTTTATAAGGAATATTTTGACTCTATTTATATCTAATGTGGAACATCTTAACACACCCTCCTTACACTCAAAGCTGGAAATTTGGTGCATGAAGTTTGCAGGACTAGACATTATCCGGGTGGCCCAATAGGATTGGACATCTATGAGTAACCCAATATTCAAAATGGATAAGCTTTAATATCATATTAAGAAACTTGTATCTAACAGCCAAAAGCTAGCTCGCAAGAGGAGGACTACTCAAGTTCTTATAAGGAGTATTTTAACTCTATTCCTAGCCAATGTAAGACATCTTAACAGAAATAAACTAAAACAAGCATATGAGAGTCATAAACTATTTTCATAAGCTCCCCATAAGTTCTTCCAAAAGCCCCCTCAGTCCAACTCCTGGAAAGTAGTGTAACAATACTTCAAGTACAAACAAAATAGTGTAACAGCTTCTTGCTACAAGCTACAAGAGAAGAAGCCAGGCTGTTTGACCAACATTCTAACAGCAAAGAAAAGGCATGTGGTGCAGATATGCTAGTCTAAGTATCTGTTGTGTTGATTGATGAGTGTTTAGATGTGTTAATCCAAAGGGAATAGTTGGAATTTATGATTTGATGATGATTTATACATTATAGATCGTGTGAAAAATGTGTGCTACTTGAATAAATTACAAGTGTTTTTTTGAATTTGAACTTAAATCTAACTGAACTCTAAAAGTTAGCTCGTTAGATTAAGATTGCTTTATTCTTTATAAACTCTACTTTAATTATATTTGTGGTCGATGTCAAATCTCAACACACTCCTCACACCCAAAGTTAGACATCTAAAGCATAGACATTATAGCACTATATATATATATATATATATATATATATATATATAACACTAGAAAAGTCTCAAGGTCAAGTAGGTTGAATTGGGAAAGCCACAACTCCAAGTAAATTGCACTAGAAAATTCACAGAGTGAAGTTAATTGCATTAAAAAGAATCGTATGGCCAAGTTGTTTTCTTATTTTTACAATCAAGCATGACCCAATAGCAGAACTATAATAAGCCTTGATACCATTTTAAATTTAGACATGGGTCAAACTCAACTCCAAAAGTTAACTCATAAAGTGAGAATTGTCTTAACCTTTATAATTTCTACTTTGGCTATATATGTAGTCAATGGGGGATCTTGAAAGGTTTAAATTACATTTTATTGTGATTGATTTATTAAATTTCTATATAATGTTCAATTTGATTTGTTTAAAATATCATGCAATATCTAGAACTAAAATTTAATAGATGATATTTGATTGAATCTCAAACTTGATTTGATAAGAATTTGAAATATATGAATTCCTTGACAACAAATTTATAAAAATATTTGGAAAAAAATTATATTATATAAATTGTAATGGAGACAATTTTTCTATTGAGTAAAAATAAGACAGAGTATACACATTGTAGGTTTAGTAAAAAATAAGATGATGATCATGTGTTGAAAGTTAAAATTAGAGATAATATTATACCACAAGTTTTTAGTTTTCAAGTACCTAAGATCAATTATACAAAATGATGGAAAAATTAATGAAGATATTACTCCCAAAATACAAGTTGGGTGGTTAAAGTTGAAAAAGACATCACAAGTTATTTGTGATCGTAAAGTACCTATTAAGCTGAAAGAAAAATTTGATCATACTGCAATACAATCAGTTATACTATATAGTAGTGAATGTTTGGTCTTAAAGAACAACACAAGAAAAAAGTGGAAGTGACAGAAATGAGAATGTTAAGGTGGTGAGTAGACACACAAGAAAAGATAAAATACAAAATAATAGTATACGAAAAAAATATTAAAGTAACACTTATAATAGAGAGACTTAAATATGTTATTAGTCCCTATAAATGTAGATTGTTTTGTGATAAGTCTCTATAAAATATTTTGTTAAGATGTAGTCCCTAGAAAGTTGAAAATTTAGGATTTAGTTCTTGTCGTTAACCCCCTCTCTGTTAAGTACTGAACTGGCTAACGAAGAGTCAACTCAGTACTTCACGTGACTATCTCTAGGCCCAATCACTACCTAAATGGCATGTCACATCATTTTTAAACTTTTTTATTATTTAAAATTAATATTTACAAATAAATTTCAAGTTGTATTTCTTTATTTGCAAATAAATCCCTTTCTCTTCTCTCATACCCCTCCTCTCCCTTCTCCCTTCTCCCTTCTCCCTTCTCCCTTTTTTGCTTTCCTCAACGAGGAGAGAGTCCTTGCTGAAGTGTGACGTGGCAGCGATGAGGTCCTGTCAGGTTCATCAATGGCTTCTCAAACATCACCACAAGTGTAAAAGAGGGTACTTTCAGGTCAGCCACCCATGATGTCCCTGACTCTGTCTCAAACGCAAACAGTCCTGATTTCTCAATCTTAATGCTCATTGGGACCGGTTTTGATATTGCCCATTTGTTCTTCGCCATTTCGCTCTTCCTTCTGTAACCGCACACACCACATATACACAAAACCACTACCACAGCTATTGAGCCAGAGGACACTCCCGCAATCATGCTTTTCGTTTTTCTTTTGCATTTTGACTTTTGCTTTGCCTTTTGTTTTGCTCTCCGCTTCGCGTGAATGGGTTTTGGGTTTTGGGTTTTCACTTGAACTAATTTTTGGCGTGTTGGATGTGTTCTAGTTGTAGTTGAAGTTGTTGCTAGCGTGGATGAACGCGGATTTGGCAAACTTTTTGAACTTGTCTAAGGTAACCAATGCTTTGAGATATGTTCAATAATTTGATGGCGTTCAGGAGAGGGAAGTCAGAGGGGAAACTACCGTTCAAAGTGTTGTTAGACAAGTCTAAGTAGGAGAGTGAGGGAAGGAAAGAAATGGGTTTTACGTTTCCTTTGATGCTGCAGCTTGAGAGATCGAGGTGGTGTAGAATGGTGTGAGGTTTTGGAACCCTAAAGGTAATGTTCCGAGGTTGTTGTGGGAAAGGTCGAAGCTTTTAAGGTTTGAGAAACCATAGAGGTGTAGTAGATTGACGAACCTGTTGTATGAGATTGAGTGTTTGTAGTGATGAAAAGGAAGCATTTTGGAAAGTGGGAAATTTCAACACAATGCTACCTCCAAACTTGTTCTTGGAAAGATTCACTACCAAGAAACCAAGTCCCCGTAAAGTTGGACTTGGCTTAATGTTGTGTTTAATGACTTGTCATGCATTTGTGTTAAAAGTCTTTGACTTGGATGCTGTGTTGCTCCTGGGTTTTTGGTTCAGAAAGTGGATCTGGTTTTTGTTTCTTTCTCAGTTTGCATTTGGATTGGAGTGGTTAAGAAAAAAAGAGAAAAGTGGAGAAGATTTATTTGTAAATATAGAAAATATTACTAGAGACTTATTTATAAATATTAATTTTAAATAATAAAAAATTTAAAAACGACGTGGCATGCCACGTAGACAGTGACCAGGTCTCGAGAGCGACATGGAGTACTAAGTTGGCTCTCCGTTTCTAACTTTCCAGCGACTACAACATATCAAAAAATTTTATAGGGACTTATCACAAAACAACCTATATTTATAGGGCCAATAACATATTTAAGCCTAATATAAAATATGACTAAAAATTGTTTAAGGTGGTTCATTCATGTGAAGAAAATACCTTTGGAGGCGCTAGTAAGAAGAGTAAATTGCATGACTCTTAGTATAGTAAAAAGGGGTCGAGAGAGACCAAAAGAACCTTAGACAACGTTATTAAAAGAGACAATTTGATTAATCAGATTTCTAAAAATTTGGTTTTTGATTGAGCTCAATGGCATCATATGATTCATGTAGCCAACCTCACCTAGTGAAATAAGGCTTGGCTGCTGTTGTATTTTGATTAGGATCCAACTTTAATAAGGAAAGGATCACTCGTTCATAATATCACAATTCACAAATGACACTGCCAAAACAGTAAAATCCAGCAACTATAATAGCTCCTATTGGACACGCAAGTAACTATTATGAAATTTGCATGTTTTGCAAGCAAGAAGTTCCATGCATCAAGGAGGATATTTCTGAACCCTAATATCTCTTCAACAGCTAGCAAAAGTCCAGGAAACAAATTGGCTAGATACTCTTGAAAAATCAAACAAAGTGAATGGCAGAAAATTATTTCATCCTTGCAACACCCTTTTTCTCCCAAATATTGAGTGGTACACTTGCAAATTTATTGTAGAAAGAATGTTCACTATTATAGCTCAAATATACAAGTGTTATTGTTTCTAGTGAAAATTGAAGAGTATGGATAGTATTCTAGGAACTAGTTTTTAATCAAGATTACTCAATATTAGGTGTAGATAAAGGAAGGTTTTTTTTTGGTATATTTGAGAGAAAGAAGCCACCATACACTCTGCTTTGAGCTATGGTAGAGGAAGGTTGACTCTGCACATTGCTCTCTCAATACTCTATTATTGTACTATGTGCAATTATTATTCTCTCATTTGATTCAATTTTTATCTTTATAACTTCTTGTTATTGAATGCAAAGAATCAATGCCCTCCCCCCTTGGTTTTTTTGCAGAAATAACGAGATCTTTTAGTCAAACTAGTTTGTAAATATTACATCTACTAGGTATAATCAAAGTTCATCAATGCTGACAAGTGAATTTAAAATAAATAAATAATCCCTTTAGGGTAATGTAATAAACTATTCATCTACTTTGGAGTTATTACTACCTAAAAATTTTCACATAAAATATATTTCAATTAACTACAAACTTGTGTTATACTGATTTTTAGCACACAGGTCAGAGCATTGTTAATAGTGGATACACCAAGATGCCATATAAGTTCAGAAAACAAGCCCAACATTGAAAACGCTATCACAGAAAATAAAATTCTAAACCTAATGTCCAGTTGGAAGTGGATTAGATTCTTACTACTACTTTCAAGGTCTCCAGCTTCCTCTTCTGGAAGTCCAGAGTTTCTAATTCCACAGCTAACAGTTTTCAAAGACAAAGTAACAGGAAGAAGACCCAAACTGATGGCAAATGATAATTTGACAGCCAGAGGATGAGCTTCTTCCAACAACAAATCCTGCATAACATATCAAAGTTAAGCTTTAGATCATGGAAGGAAAAAAATTGTTCCATATTTTTTTTAGGAACATATTTTAACATCATAACAGCATAATTTCACTTCATTTCTAATTAAACTTTTACATATTTATATCTTTATTTTGGTTACATGCAACTTAATAAGACAAAAAGCAGAATATTTGGTTAACCCTGATAATAGTACCAATGTTGAATTTCTAGAATGCAGCATGTGAGCATCACAATTAAAAGCTGAAGCTATACAAGGTCTATATCCTACCAACCGTTCCGAAATTAGAACAATTGCTGATGTAACAATATTGAGCCTTGCAATTAAAAGAAACTCAAGAAATAAATTCATAGGAGTGAAAAAACTACAATATAGTCAATATAGGTTAGTCAACATTCCATGAAAATAACAACCTTCTGAGAATAGGTAGATTGAAGCATAAACCAAGGAGATAACTCCTGATTTCCTTCCCCTGGGTTAAAGAACTTTCCAACTGCCATGGATGCTGCAGGTGGTGGTCTTCCTGAAACAGTCTGAGGACCACATTGTCACTAAACATGTACAAATATGGAACATACATTTTCAACAACAAAGACCATATAGGAAATACATCATATTAGTAGGCAAGATGATTCAATTATTCCATCCTCAGTCATAATTATATCATTAAATAGCCTCATGAAATTACACTTACTTAAGAAATTTTAAGATTAGAAAAAGATAAACAACACTTGGTAATCAACACACAGTCCATCCATAAGCATCTTTCTTTCTAATTTGAGTAAATACACAAATTAGTCCGTATAACTGATACTCTATCATTACTTCTTGAAAGCTTTGCTTTGCACAATTTCGCCCTTCAATGTGTTAATTATCTTACATTTTGGCCCTTTTGGGAACTAATTGGTCCTTGAAAGTGTTTGTGTATAATTTGGTCCTCAAATACATTAATTTTGCCCATATTTTACATTTTTACTCCCATTTGACTTACATTTTTGTGAGGGAAGAAATAAAATATGAGTAAGTTAAAATATTTGAAAACTAAATTCTTAAAAAACGAAAATTTTTTACCAAACATAAACATGATGCCACTTTTAGGGATCAAATTGTATATTTACTCTTCTAATTTTATACAGAAGGTATTTGCAAGACCAAAAGTAACATACAGGCTTCCACTCCACATGGAAATTTAAAATGAAAAAAGCAGAAATCTCAAACACTGCTAATCAAGCAGACCTAAGAGACCTCGGGAAAAAGGGAATTATAAACAAACCTAAAATTTCTGAAATCCCCTTAGATCAGATGATAAGCATTTCTTAATATCTAAAAGGAAATCATTCAAAACTTTAAACGGTACCGGACGAGGTGCAACTGAGATAGTAAGAAATCTGAAACCGTGCATATCTTCAGGACCCAACCAAAATACAGCAGATGGAGGAGCTTGCTCAGTCTGGCTGCCAGGTTCAAGCTGTTAAAAAATGCAGATTAAAAACTATGATTATTGTCAAATTAATTAAACTTCTTCCTCAAAATGTCTTAAAGAAAGATGCCAACCTCTGTGTAAGAAATAATTCAAACAAGAAAGATGGAAGGTCCAGAAAGAGGCATAACATACCTGTCGGGGCGCTGGACCTGAGGGAATGCGCATCATCTTTGATGTTACTTCAACAACCCTATCATTGAGAGGCAAATTTGAAGCAGATTTCCCCTTTTCAGGCCACAAATGAAGTCTAATTCCAGAACATGGCTCAAGATTGGTCACAAGCACAAAATGATTTTTTCCATTTGACCCCTACACATCCAGATAAAATGGTTGAACTGCTGCACCATCGCATGATTATATATGTTCTAACACAAACACTTGGAAATTTTAAAAACCTTGAAACTAGGAAATTTATCAGGATATGAATTTAATCTGACACTGACTCATTAAAAAGTCATGCTTATAATGAACAAAATTTATATCTTCTATACACATAATTCAGCAGATATCCTCAAAATTAGAAAAGATAAAATGGTCAAACACCTTCAAAATTAAAATTCTTTCCTTTGAACAACTACTTGAAAGATGTACTTGATCAGGAAGCTGAGTGCCTAATTAGATGTCATTCTGATAATCTCCAATAGCAAATGGAAACTTGTGAAACAAAGTTATTCATGGTAATATCATTATTTCTTAAAAATGGCAATTGAATCTATGTATCCACTAATCAAACCATCCAATTATAAAAATAAAAATTAATGGATACATAATAGATTGCATCACCATTTGTTATTAGGTGCATAATAAACATTGGATTGGATCAAGTAGTCCAAAATTGTTTGATTCAGCATAAGTCTTTAAGGGATGGGTCCTAGACTCTAGTATTTGGATGTAAGAATATGTATAAATATTGAACTTTATTTTATAACTGTTTTGAAAATAATTAAATAGAATATAAATAGATGAGTTGGATACCCATCCAAAAATGGTTAATGGATGGGTTGAATAGTTTTTTATTTAATGTGTTATTAGATTTTTTCCAATACATTTTTAACAGATTATAAATGGATTAATGGTTTTTTTTTTTTTTTTTTTACTCATCCATTATAATTCAATTCAAAATTTACCCAATTCATCCATTTGACACCCCTATTATTTCTACAATTATTACTATGTACAGAAGTGTTCAACATTATAATGGAAATTAAGCATTCCCACTAATAATTTCTAAAGTAAAACAAAATAAGATTTATTTTATTTTAAAGGATGCATGTAGCAAAATTTGTGCAACTTATAAGGTCCTTTGATCCATATGGTTCAAGTGGCAGGTTGCATTTATTAAGGTATACCTTTGTCCTAGATGCAACCAAGCCCCCCAATCCCAAACACACTAGCCATATGTCAAACCCCAAATATTTTCAATTGCCACTGCATTATATTTTTTAGTTTATTTTCTTTTCATACGCTTAATGTAACAAACTTAATGTTTTGTAAGCTTTGACTTAAGGGAGAGTGTTAGAATATCTTGAAAATATCTTATAATATCTTTTATTGTATTTTTAGAATATTTCAAAGCATCATACATGATTTCTTATAGGCAGTTTCTGTTTGGAGAATGAAGTCCCACATCAACTGGTGAGGTAACAATTGAAGTCGACATAAAACTTGAAGGGCCAAGTCCAAATTGCCTTCAGCATTTTGGACAGAGCAATGTTGGAGTCAAGTGTGAATTAGTCTCATATGGAATGGGATCTGGGCAAGTTAGGGGTCTATAAGGAGATAGATCCATCCACCCATTGCCTTAAGGTTTTGAGATTGCATTGTAGTGTCTTACTCATTATGAAGCTCCCGACCTTAAAACTCCCCTACCCCAACAAGCAGCAACTCTTAATTACAGGCCCAAATGTAAAATAGAAACTCAGATAGGGTTCATTCATTATTTCAACAAGGTATCAAAGCCCATATAGCTTCACAATTCATTGAGGATCCCAAAGAGGACCTCTGGTCCTAAGACATAAAGTCCAAAAACAATGAACAAAAAATAGGGGGCTGAGTGAGGAAGACCCAAGCAACCATTGCAGGCAACAAATAAGTCACAACTGCAGATTTAAAAAAAAGTCTCGCATCGGCAAGGGAGGACACAAACAAAGTGGATTTAATTCTTGAGGGGAAAAGTCTACACTGCAAATCCACCAGCCCATTATTCAAGATTTAGATGCTGCTCATTAATAATTGCAACAATTTCCATATTTCATTACATTCCGGGATTTGTTTCCTTATTCAATAAAGATTAGGAGTCTTATTTGTAACAAATCATCACACACCATATATCAATATTATACTCTATTATTCAATATTTCTTTCTCTCTTTTCCTCCTTCTCTATCAATGTTCCTATAGTTTCCACAGAACTTTTTCCGCTATGTATTTTGATTGTTCAGTATTTTGGATATTGTAGCAGAGAAACAAGAAACAAACAAATACCAATTTTTGTATGTCCAGCCACCGCCTTCGACCATCCATTGCTAACACAGTCACCTCATTTATCTGAATGTATAGGTCTCTATCAAGGCCCCCATCATTCCAATGAATATTGGAAGGACATGCAATCGGCCTATGCACTTGAGATCCTGCACCGTGATATAATATGAATAAATTTTTTTGCACAAATGTGGCAGTTTGTATTCCAAATTAACAAGATATGTCAAAGATTGACACGGATGATATTTAGTGAAACACTAAACAGAAACCATGTTGTAACAAGTAATGATTTTGATATGTAATGTCATTTTTCAAAAATGTTTGTATGCTGCTGCAGTTGTACCATTGAGTTAAGAAAAAATCATGATGGTAAACATTTGTAAGAGGTTTACCAATTGTTACAGAATAAAGCACATGGAAATAATGGAAAGCTATATTCTTTGCCCATAAAGCATAATCTAACTTCATTTTACCACTGCATGCGTCAACAGCAGTATACAAATAAAATAGTGCTGGAATGATTATTAGATGATTCCAGAAAGCTTTTCAATGGAATTGTCAGATAAACTAAATGCAAGAATTGAAAAGTAGATTATAGTAAGCTTAAGCTTTGTGAGAATAGAATTAGAAACACCAGCATCTAATACCAGTGGCATCTTTTGTATTCTGGATAGGAATGTTTGTTGACTGTTTAGAAGAGGGTAACTGCATCATCCCATTGAAATTATGTGATATTCCACTCCGCAGCATTCTTGCAAAAATGGCAAGTCTCTTTTGAGTATCCAGAAAAGGTTGGCCTGTTCTGGAATCTATCAAACTAAGAAGTGTGTGTGATACCTAGATAAGAATGTAAATGATAAGGAGCGCATAAAGGAGAACTAAGTGTATGTTATTGACAAAGAAATTTACTTACTTGGATAACCAATTGATTACACCATAAAATAGCTTGATGTTCCATTGACAACCACACATTTTTCATGGCTGTACTGCTGATCATGAAGCCATGCGTTGGGGGCACAATATTATCAAGTGATGTTAATTTTGATCGTACCTGAAGAAAAGAAAGAACAAAAAATAAATCAAAAATATGTCAAGGTTCATATGTAGCAGTTGTGTAAACTTGGGAAATTGGAATTACATTAAAATATGAAGATATTTGAACAAAGAACTGGAAATGTGACTCTCAGACTGTACCAAGTTGGACATCCATAGTGGTTATGACCAAGGTAGTTAAAATCGGGATTTTACTTAAAATCGTTAAGAGAAGTAAAAATCGTAAATCGAATCGTAAGATTTTACAAAAATTATATATACATGAATATAAGTTCATATTCTGCATATAAAATAGCTGAAATTAAAAAAAAAATATTAAATCACTAAAAGTACTTAAATAATTCATATTTCATAAGAAAACTATTAAGCATAATCCACGAAAAAACAAGAGGAAGATGAGAAAAAAATAGCTAATGAGTAGGTTGGGGCAGAGAGAACCAGAGAAATCGCCAAGAAGAAGAAGAGCACTTAGCTAACAGTGCACTTAAGGTTCAATGAAGAAGATAAGAACGCAGGACTCCTTCGCGCCTAATTAAAAAGCTGTGTCGGGCTCAGGATTTCATTCGCGCCTAATTAAAAAGCTGGGTGGGCTCGAATTATATAAAATTTGGGCCGATTTGACGATCCGACCCGTGTTTGGCTGAAATCGGGAGTAAATCAGGATTTCACCGATTTCCCGATCTGAATCGCGATTTCACACCGATTTCAGTCAGCTCCGATTTTTGTTGCGCTCTAAATCGATTGGCTGGGATAAATCGTAAAATCGTAGGATTTTACGATTCGCATCCCGATTTTAACTACCATGGTTATGACAAAAGATCAATTTCCATAAGAACCATCTAACCCCGTGTGGAGATAATATTCATTTAGCTCAAAAAGTTAACAAATTTTGTTTCAAGAAAATACATAAGATGCCATTTTACTGATAGTTTTAGAGTAACTCAAAAAAGTGGCCACAAGTTAAGAATGTCCCTAAATGGGAAGACAAGAGAACTACCTATGAACAATCAAGAAAAATGTTCAAATTGAACAAAGCATAAGGCAAAATAATCTTCTGAAGCACATGAGGCATCTTTCTCTATTAAATATCATTGCTGATACATCTACGGCATATAGAGGGAAAGGTGAAAACACATTAACAATACCTGGTAATCATTGTATGCACCAGAAATAGATACAACAACAACATGAGAGAGTACAGGATCAGACACATAACGCCCTGTGTTAGTGGTCTGAACCTTATATCCTTCCCTCCATTCTGAATTTACACGTGCAAAGTAATGACCCAATGATGGCTGCAATGCCACAGGAGGTGATCTGAAGAAAATATATGTCTCCCATCAAATATTTAAGCAGAGCATCCAAATACAATAAGTGGAAAAAGAAAGCCTACTGATGTGGGGTTGAAAGTGTAAGAACAGTTTCAACTGCTGATTTCCTAAGACGAGGGTGAATAACAGCAGCTCTAGCAACAAAACCACCCATCGAGTGACCAACCAATATCACATTTTTTGGCAAACTCCCAGAAACTGCAGCACCTTCTCTTGTTCGAGCATCATAAGACACTTTATATTGGTCCAAAATCTGCAAGCAAGGCCACATCATAAGCATTGAACAAATAAAGAATTACCAGCTTCAAGCAAAGTAAAGCCAGATAGAAAAGTACAAACATAAGAGACAGCACCAACTGAAGAAAGAAAGGAGTGCATAGCACAGACCTATAAAGACTAAATTTGAAAACAAAAGAATGTTATTCAAAGCTCCAACAAAGCCAAGGGGTTTATTTCCTACCACAAGATGGTCGAAAAATAGAATCAATAGATCAGGTATACTCACCAACTGAAGAAAGAAAGGAGTGCATAGCACAGACCTATAAAGACTAAATTTGAAAACAAAAGAATGTTATTCAAAGCTTCAACAAAGCCAATGGGTTTATTTCCTACCACAAGATGGTCTAAAAATAGAATCAATAGATAAGGTATACTCACACTATGACATTAAAAGCAGAGCTAAGGATTTAACTTGTGATCGAAAACTAGATTCAATATATAAAGTTTTCATGCAGTAAGATATTGAAAACAGAGCTATGGATTTAATTAAGTCAATCTAACACTACATTAATTCATTGAATTTTAATGATGATGATAATAAAAAATCAATAGTAAGAAACAACACTTTCAATTCATCAAGAATATTTATACCGTTACTGTGAACAGGTTGGCTGAATGATAATGATAACACGTTCAATTCAAAATAAATCAGCCATATACAAACCAAAAATAAACTAATTCAAGAGTTAAGATTACAATCTGGTTATATTTATTCAGTACTCATATTCTTCCCGATGATATAAACTAAAAATGATAATAGTGATACCTTGTGTATAGCATATACAACATATTCAGTGTGCTCTTCAAGAATCGCACCATCCATGGCAGAATGTTCACCTTCAAGATCAACAGCAAACCAGTCTAGCCTGCTGGTATACTGGTTGGGTAATTGGAAACCAGATAAATTTATATCTGCACCCCGTTCTTCAGGTCTTAGGGAAGCTTCTTGATAAAATGCATGCTCGAGGGGGCCATTCTGATATGCCCTATCAGATTCTGCTGCCAAAGATCGCACCTATTATGTGGATAAAAATAAAAAAAATGTTAATAAAATAAACAAAAATTGGGCTGTTACGTTACAAAAGTGGTGAATTAATAAAATAAAAATACAATGATAGAAACAGCTGAACCAATGATCATTATTAAGGTTAGTTTCCTAAATCATATGGGACCTATGCTATATTTTTCCATTTTTTATTTGTTTTTACTTCTTTTCCTGGTTTTTCAATTCCACAAATGAAAAGGAAGTGGCATTGCCCTATCCAGAGGAATTTCACAAACTCAATATACAATACCATTCAAGAACAAATTGAGAGTCAAGTTACCCTAGAATTTAGATTCAATTCAAATACCTTAGTCAGTACAGAAGCAAGCCTCAGGCTTTGAAAATAGATATGTAGATTTTTGTCTACATGTCATCATATTATATTAAACACTCTCAGATCAGCCTTTCACAACAAAACCAACATACTACCAAAGAAATTGAAAAAAAGTATACTTCCAATATCTAAGAAGTAAGAACATATTTAGATCATTAAAACCACTCAAATCGAGAAGTAATATTTTCCCTGTTTTCAAACTTTATACCAAATACTATACAATATTTCTTTTGCATCCTGAAATTATTTAACCCACAACTAAATAAGTAACCATAACACCAAACCAACTTCAACTAAATCCAAACAAGAAGAAAGAGGACCTTGCCTGTTTGAAGCTACCACCATTGCCTGGGATAAAAAGCACGGGCACACCATTGAGCTTCTTGAGATGCTCCTTAAAATCTATCTTTTTCCATCCCTCGTGGTACAAGTACAAGCCATACTTCACTGGTGAAACGCTTTGGGACGAGGAAATAGGAATGTACGTTGGATACATGTAGGTCATGATACACCCATTAGAAATAGGCTTCAACAAACCATACAAAGCAGAAAGACAAATTCCAACGACTATAATAATCAAAATTCCAACCCTAATTTTCGCCCTAAAACCCGGCATTGTGAACGAAGCTTCTACTTCTAAGTCTTCAGATCACTGCAAACTTAGCTCGCTCTTGAGCACGCACGTACTAAGAATTTCACCACAACCAATGCTCGAAATCAAACAACAAGTGCCGGTGGTTGAAACAGAGCTTCAAGCTCCACGAACACCGAAGTAACGTAGTTAAACAAAGCACCAAAATAGAAACTCTTCCATCGCCGGAACCAGATCGCAACCGATTCAACTATCGCTCCAACTTAAGATTCAAATAGGCATCGATCGAACAGCTTCAGTTGCCAAAACAGATCAAATTTCCACAGCTAAAACAGAGATCTACAATTCCACAAATAAAAAAAATGAAAAATAAAACAAAATCCACTAACACCGAAGCGAAAGTGATTATAGCAAGATATCAAAGTTTTAAAAAAGCAGAAGAAAAGTTCAATCTCGGTGCATAGATCTTAAACAACTCCGGCGCGGCGGCGTTGCCGCAGGCGGAGAAGAAGTTGAAGAGAGAGAGAGAAGGATTACCGAATTGGGAAACAGAGAGAGTGAAAGATGAAAATGAGGGAAGTGGCGTGTGAGTTGCGGAGACGGAGGGTGCAACTGAATTTTATTTTAAATTTCGTTCATGGAAGTTGGGAAGGAAAATGAAGCAAGGAGGAGCGTGCGTCATTGTGTGACTGTGACAAAGTAAAATAACAGAGTCACGCTTCCGTCCAAAACTCCTCCAATGATCATTTCGGGCAATGAATGGAATACGACCTAATTAAATGCAGGATCTATTTCTCGCTCCCAGTGTTTGGGACTATGGGGCATCACCATTTTCTTCTACTTTATCGTTGAGGTAATTAATAAACAAGTAACGAGAATAACTTGTTTTTATCTATAGCACAAATAATTTTATAAGAAATAATTGAGAACAGTTACAACACTGTAGAGTTAGTTTTCCAAATATAACTGTTCATACACAACATTAAAAGTTGGGATCTTGTTTAAAGAAAAAGGAAGCATGTATCATTTGAACCAACTCTTTTACTAAATATAAGAATAATTGAGCGTCTATTTAATTTAAAACTAAAAAATAAATTTTATGTTCTTTACAAAAAGAATATACATTTTAATAAAAAAATTATAATTTACATTAATTGTAGTATATATCATAGTTATTTTAAATAATTTAGACTTAATTATATTATAATTAATTTTGTTTAACTTTTAAACAAACGAGCTTTGAATTTGTATTGGGTAATTTTTTATTTCTTACTACATTTTGTGTTTTAAAATAGGTTAATAATTTCAAAAATAATAATAGTATTTACAAAATGATTATATTGATAATATTGATAAACGAAAATTGACACTTCGATTTGTATTTTTATTGATTTAGGTTCCTTTTATTTGGTATTTAAATGGCCATTTGCTCCTTGTCACGTATTTTATTTAGAAAGTGCACTTATTTTGCGTACAGTAGACACAATTTGCTCTGTTGCACTTATTTTGTTTAAGTAGGGGCAATTATTTGACACGAAATGTGACGCGGTGACTGAAGTGTTGGGTTGTTCGCCCATCTTTCTCAAGTATTATTATTTACTATTCAGGGATCGTCATGTTTTTGTGAACTAATCGAATCTTTTCCCAACCTTTCTCTGTTTTAAATACCATAGATACACATACGCACCGTTTTAAAAAAGAAAAAAAATTCCCCCTCATCTCATTTTTATCATTTTGACTTTCTCATCGAATAAATATAATTTTATAAAGTATATGTTAAAATAATCTAAAATAAATTATTTTCTAATTTAGGATGTTTTACGTTATATGATACTAATTTTTTATTTAAATATTATTTTAGTTCACATACGAATGTTTTTATAAAATTTCTATAAAGAATTTTAAAAACAAGTTATTAAATAAAAAAATTTTAAAACAATCTTTCTTGTTAAAATTTGGATAACATTATTATCTTATAATTAAATAATTTTTTATTTTTATATATAATTTTTTTATTATTATTATATATAACAGATTTAGTTATAGCCTTATATGAAAACAAAAACACTATAAGGATAAAAAAAAATGTGATACCTACAATTGCAGGGATTATAATAAAAATATATATATTATGTACAGAGACTTAAAGAAAAAGTGTTATATACATAGATTAAAATAAAATTTATCATTGAAACAAATTGAAAAATTTTGTAACGATGACAAGTTACAAAACGTGATTTACTAACTTTAAATAATAAAATTATAAACTAATGTGATCAATAAAAAAAATTAATTTTTGAAAGTTTAGTAAAAAAAATTATTTTAGTGATATGCCTTGATTCTTTTGAGAGATTATTTAAGAAATTGTTTAAAAATAAAATTTATATGTAAAATGTTAAATACTGTTTTTTACTAAGAACGTTGAAATTTTAAATTTAATTTTTAAAATAATAAAATTTTAAAATAAATTATTAAAATAGATAAATTTCATTGTACAAGTATTATGAAAAGGTAAAACAAAAAAAAAAATATATATATATATATATATATATATATTTATTATTTACAAAAATATTTTGAGTGTACAAAAAATGTTAGAATATTTTTGTGTATATTCATAACTTTAGCCAAATTCAAAAAGATAGAATAATTCTACGAAACTCTATATGATATCATACTAACTCCAAGACAGGAGTCAACGACCTTATTTTTAATTATTCTCCTGCAATTGAAACTTTTGATCTTCCACTACAAAGACTGGTTAAAGTCATCTTGTCATGGGTGATAACATGACTACCAAACCTCTCGACTCCACCTCACCATACTACCTCCATCCCTCGGATGAACCACACATCACAATTTGTCCCATTATGTTACATGGTGAGAACTATAACGAATTTGTTCGTTCGATGTGCAATAACTTTTGTGCAAAGAACAAACTAGGCTTCCTCGATGAAACCATAACCAAACCAAAGGAAGGAACTCCTAAAGCATCCTTTTGGGTGTCGATTAATTCAACACTTGTAGGATGGATTCATAATACTCTTGATCTCGCTCTCCACTCTTCCATTCTACAACCCGATGATGTGAAAGATATATGTATATTTAACAACATTTCTCGATAGAAAACAGTCCAAGAATCCATGAATTGACAACTCTTTTGGGTGCTTGCAAGTAGCAAGGGCGGCCGATAGTGACTTACTACAACGAACTTCAAAAGATATGGGATGAACTTGCAGGATATTCTATAGTTCCAACGTGCATTTATGCTGCTACTACTACCTTTGCTCAAGAAAAAGAGAATGCAAAGGTACATGCTTTTCTTGTTGGTTTGGATTTCACTCTTTATGGCACTGTTGTTTCAAACATTTTCATAATGGACCCTTTGTTGAGCTTGAACATGGCCTTTGCTAAAATTGTGATCGAAGAACGTCACTAAACTATTCCTCGTGCCCATGAAACCAATTTTGATGTTGTTGGTTTTGCGGCACAAGGGGCTGCTAAGGGACGACATGAACGGTCTCGAATCAATGGTGTTTGCTCTTATTGCACCAAGTCTGGACATTTAAAAGAAAATTGTTTTCAATTAATTGGGTACCCAAACTGGTGGTATTCTGAGAACCGCACCAATGGAGGGCCAAGATGAGGCGGAGGCAAGCCTGGACGGGGGAGAGGGAAGCATGTTGACAAAGGAGACCGTGGGTAGGTAGCAAACGTCGCCACAATCTTGAAGCCTATTGCTCAAGTACCCATCCAGGATTCAAATCGTCGTGGCATTCCTAGTTTATCAGATGATTAATGGGCTACACTTGTACACATGCTTAACTCTACAAAAGAGCAGTATTCTTCAACCGAAAAGTTGAATGGTAAGTTTGATGCTTCTACTGAATGGATCATCGATACCAGATGCTAAAATCACACGACTGGTAATGCTAAACTATTTAGTCAATTATTCAATGTTTCTCTTACCTCTATTAGGCTGCCTAATGGTAAACAAACCATTGCCACTAAGGAAGGCACGATAACTTTGAACAAACACATGATGCTCCATAATGTACTATATGTTCTAGATCTTACTTGTAATTTGTTGTTAGTATCTCACTTGCTTACCGATCTATCTTATTTTATCATTTTTACTGATAAGCTTTGCATCATACAGGACCGTGCTTTGAGGACTCTGATTGGAGTGGGTGAGCAATGTGATGGGGTTTATTAGTTTTGGCCTTTACGGTAATTACAAGCTTATTAAGCAAGTGTGGGCAATAAAAGAGAATTATGGCATCAACGGCTGTGACACCCTTCTCGAAAAATAGACTTCTTTTTCCTGATAAAAATAAGGATATTAATGTTATCCATGAACCTTGTGATATTTGTTTAAGAGTCAAGCAAACTAGAAACATGTTTTCTTTGAGTACGAGTAGAGCAAAAGATGTCTTTGATTTAATTCATTGTGATATCTGGGGAGCGTATACTTTGCCTGCTAGCTGTGGTGCTCATTATTTTTTAAATATTATTAATGATTACTCTCGAGCTGTATAGGTTTATTTGATGACTGCCAAATCTGAAGTGTCTTAACTTCTTAAGGATTTTTGTAGAATGGTTCAAAGTCAATTTGATAAGCATGTTAAAATTCTACAAAGTGATAATGGAAAGGAATTTACATGTCTTCATGTATTTTATGCTCACAATGGTATTATTCATCAAACCTCTTGTGTTAACACTCCACAACAAAATGGAAGGGTCGAACATAAACACAGACATATTCTTAATGTAGCTCAGGCATTACTTTTTCAAGCTAATCTTCTCATTTCTTTTGGGGGGAAAGTATAATGACAGCTGCTTATGTCACTAATCGAACCCCTATCCCGTTGCTCAATATAAAACACCCACGAAATTCTCTTTTGGTTCCCCTCCTAAGTATGATGCACTTTGTGTTTTCAGTTGTCTTTGCTTTGCCCAGAATCAACCTCGTGTGAAGGATAAGTTTAGCACTTATTCTCGTTGATGCGTGTTTGTGGGGTATCCATTTGGTAAAAAGGGTTGGCGTTTGTATGACTTGGAGGAAAAAGTGTTCTTTATATATCGAGATGTTATTTTTTGTGAACATCAGTTTCCTTTTTCTACTAAAGTAGATTCGCATAATACTAATGATGTGTTTGAAAATAAGAAGTTTTATGATACTGTGACTTATTTTGAGGATCCTCCCTTACAAAAAAGGAGTGAGGAGCACTCAAGTGGTGACACGAATGTCGTCCAACAACTTGGTGCCACTTTGGACATTGGACCAATTGCGATTAATGAACAAAATGTTTTGCTTGAAACTGGTCGAGGTCATCAAATAAAGAAACCTTCCATACTTAGGTACTCCTTTTCCCATTGCTTATTATGTAAATTGTGATAAGTTTTTTGTGAGACATACTCGATTCTTGACAGTAATCACTATAGGAACTGAACCCACCTCTTTTAAAGAAGTTGTTAAGAATCCCGATTAGTGAAAAGCTATGCAAGATGAAATAGATGCACTTGAGAGAAATGAGACTTAGACTTTGGAGGACCTTTCACCTAAAAAGAAAGCAATCGGTTGTAAGTGGGTCTATAAAGTTAAGTATCAATCTAATGGTATGATTGAAAGATTAAAGGGACACCTAGTGGTGTATAGAAATCGACAAATTGCTAAACTTGATTTTAATGAAAGATTTGCCCCTATAGCTAAAATGGTTACAGTTCACACATTTTTGGCTATAGCAATA